TCCCTCAGGGCTCCGCTGGCCTGCCATTTCCTTCCTGTCTTGACCGTGATGTTTGCCTGCCGCACAGCCTGATCGTTGCTGTCTCGCAACATCATGGCCAACCGGACTTTAGCTGTCTTGAACTCCTCCACAACTGATGTGATTGGCAACTGCAGCTTGCTTCCGGTGCTGTAGAGGCCGATGGAGCAAAACGCTTTGGGGACTGAGAGCCACCTCCTGAGGAAGTTGTTAATTTTCCTTTCCAAAGCTTCCACTGTTGTCAAGGGAACCTCGTACACAAGCAGTGGCCACAGGAGCCTTGGGAGGATGCCGTGTTGATAGCCCCAGGCCTTGTATTTGCCAGGCAGGCCACTCCTCTCTAGGGCCTTTAGCCACTCTTCTGCTGGGTCTTGATAATTCATCAAACAATGAGTATGGTCTAGACCTGCTCTTGTTCTCTGAAAAGCATCTCAGAGTGACGACTGTTGTAAATTGGCCCCATATAATAAAATTTGATTGATTTGATTGATGGATTGAAGTGGGCCCTGAGTTGCCAAAGTTTGGGAACCCTTTACTAATCATTTCAGCACTTCAGCAGTGCTCAGATTTATAGTATGCTTTACATATCTTATGTTGATGTATTAAATTGACTAATGTTCCCTTTACCCTGTAAGAACTCCAAAGTTGATGCTTGGGCTGCTGGGTAAGATATGATCATACAGTAGTACGAATCAAACATCAGCATAAGAGCATCACTGAAGATTCTGATGTGGCCATTAACAACAGACAGCATGAAATTCTCAGCTGCCAAGGTTGAATTTCATGTTGTGCACACGTACAAGAGAAAAAGGGAACATTTTTGTGACAAACTGGGCCAAAAGGCTGTAGCTCCAACAACAACTAAATGAAATTATAATGTTACAACTGAGTCCACTACAACAATAACAATCAAAGTAATTGTAGCAATAGTTTTCTGTTTTCTGGTTTTAATATTTTGTGGTGGAAAAAGACAAATATTCATACCACACAACAATATATGGTTTTACTTGGAAGTTCAGCACTTTAGAGGGCAGGGTTGTTTGATCCACTTTGTAGAACATCTGTTCTTCCTCTTCATTGAAGTACTTGAGGAGCAGTGGAAGAAAAACTGCAACAGTCACAACTGCGACATTTTTGTTTGATGTTTGCATTTCCCTGAAGATGATCTCCATCTTTTCATTCCTGTCACCAGATTTTAGAAATGAGATAACTCTCACACATTTATTTGATATGTTTTTATCTTCCATGTCCACTGGTAAGCTCTTTAAAATTAGTCTTTATGCCAGTTGTTTCAAACAGATATGGCCATTCCTTGCCAAGTCAGAAGTCTCAATCCCACTGATAGTCTTTTCTCTGAGTGAAGAAAGTGGCTCTCATCATTTTCTCAATAGCTTTGCTGTCACAGCATCTTTCTTGCCACATTTTCTTTAACTTTGCTTGTTTCTGAGATTCAGGGATTTCATCGGGTGGCAGCCGTGTTGGTGTCCAGTTTATACACTCATAAGTGTGTAGTCTTTTATTTTCTGAATTGGGGTATCCTCTCCTTCACTGCTGCTAATAATTTGTCTAGTGATGTATTTCTTCTCTTCAAGTTATCCACTCTGCCGACCATCTGTTTGGTGAGTGAGTCATACCCATAGACTGTATATACTATGGACAACTTGGTTCCGCCTACCGCCTGTATATGGAATTTGAAGCCAAACAGCTCTTGCTATTTCCGGGATTTTTCTTCATTTCCTGAAACCAGCGCTGCGCAGTAGCGCTGCGCGCATTTAGGCGCGCAGTCACAGAGAGTCGCTGTGATGACGCTTGGCTCAAACAGTGTATCCCCCAGGAGAGCTATGCAATCCCTGAATGCCCATAGGCTGTATCAACTTTCAATCAAAGAAAACATGAACCCCCTAATAACTTTTAAAAATGGAGCTGTACAAAAAAAAGAGGACTTGAGCACAAACCAGTCTTACTGTAACTACATGTCAACATCACAACCAGTGGGGAGAAAAATTTATGTTTCGTGTAATAAATTTCTTAATTTTGTCCACAGCTCCATAAGCTTTGCTGGCGGAGGCGGGATTTATGACCTATACTGCAGCCCATCAACCGAGGGTGCAGTTCTCGGAGTGGCTTCACTCAGCAAGGAGGCAGACTCTGTCCATTCTTCATACAGTCTATGGTCATACCAACTGCCAACAACTACACCTTCAAAGACATCAGTAAATGCCACAGGGTAGGCCTTTGTCCATCTTCCTTGCCATCTCACTGATATGTTCCTAGGTGCTGGGCACATGCTTGAGCTTTCACTGACAATGAGCCATATGATTTCAAGTCTCAAACTTTTTGTTGGTCGCTCTGCTGTTTCCAGCTTTCTGATGATCTCAATGGAATGTTCTGCCAAGGAATTTGAATTTGAATTTAAAATACCAGCTTTTGTCAGACAGTCAACGAGGTGTGATATCCATACTTGAACTACTTGTTGACTGAGGTGAACTTGCATTTTCTGACCTGAAGACAATACAGAGAACATAAGCTGTTATTAAATAATTAATTCCGGCCCAAACTATATAGAAATGACTAGGGTCATTTCTCCTCTTTTTTTAGCCATGTTTGGACCGAGATTGAGACGCGCTGAGTCCAGGCTTCAACACCCATTGGTCCAGTCGAATTTTAATTTTCAGGCCCATGAAGAACTTATAAATGCATAGTGATATTTACATTCTGATTTCTGTTGACACAGAGCAGAAAGACAGGAACCAAACAACATTTAATTTCATTGTTAACATGACAAAAATTTCATTTTTCTTGGTTTAGAAAAATGTTTATTCCACCTCTCTGGGGTTGTTTGTTTTGATTGAGCTGATTGTAATCAGATATTTGGCTCCTTATAAACCCACTTACCGATGCAACAGATAAAGCCCATCCCATTTTCTGCATTGTTCAATGTAACCTGCATAGTTTTGACTAAAACAGCATCAATGTCTTTTCACAAATAGTCAGTGGATAGCAATTAACCCCAGCATGGAGTTAGTAGTCCTGATACTGACTGCAGGAATGGAAACGGGAGGAAAAGAAAACAACTAAGCAGGGCAACGGTAAAAATATTGCCTGCGTGGTCACATGAATGCATTCATGAGTTTTCTTTATCAGCATTGGGGCGAAAAATGTATTTATTTTCCTCTAATGTTGTTAGCCAGGAGACCTGATGTTTTTTTTTTAATTGTTTTTTTTTTTTTTTTAATTTAGATTGGAGCTTTTATTGAATCTGAGAACATTTATGAGTGATCAAGTTTACAAGCAAGGACCAGGATAAAGGTGCAAGAATATCCAACCTTTTTCCAACACCACAGCAGTCACACGAGTCACACTATAGATGACACCGTGGCTTTTGGACAAACAGGCTTGCGAGATCTCAACATAAAACACTAAGCAGGGTAGCAAAGAAAATACACACAAGACTGACTATACATGGGATAAATGAACAACAAATTCTTATTGGAGGAACAATTGCTACTGCTGGATACAAAAGTCTTTTTTTCTGTACATTGTAATAAAATATCCCGTGTTTAACCCTGATTAGTTGCGTATCATTTGCTACTGAATCAGGATCTACAGAAGATAGACCCAAATGATGATACTGATTTATAAGCACACTGTCAATTCACTGATGGTGATTGTACAATATTACAGTAAGTTACAGGTAGATTATATAAATTTTCAGTCCATCTAAACCAAAAGAGTGACTCTGTGCGACAGATGCATACACTCACCAGAAAGGGCCATCACGTGAGACTGTTACTGGACTTGTACTGGTGCTGGTTCTGCTGAACTGTTTGTTGCTCAGGTTGCTTGACGGACTGTGTAAGACATCTTGTTGGCCTTAATCAAGGACAGATAGTAGTAATATTTTACCATGCAGACATCACATAGCTCAATCTGGGTATAATGATACCTACCATAATTATGTAATCAGTAGCCAATTGATATATTTTAAGTCAAATCAAGTCAAAGCTTATTTATAAAGCACCTTTAAAAGATAGCAGTCAAACAAAGTGCTGTACATGGGACAAATAAAAGAAATAAATAAAGAGATCGATAACAATAAAAAAATTTAATTTAACACAGTGGAATAAAATACAGACAGTAAAAGAATAAAAGCCACAGTGCCCATGATTCCTGTGTGCTCATTTATTAAATGCAAGGGAGAAAAGGTGGGTCTTTAAAGATGATTTAAAAGACCGTTATGTCTGTGAGGCTCTAATATGGCCAGGTAAACGGTTCCACAGTTTAGAGGCAACCGCTGAAAAAGCCCTGTCACCTCTAGACTTAAACCTAGTTTTCGGGACGCTCAACGGTAACTGGTCAGAAGACCTTAAGGCTCTAGTTGGGGGGTGGTGGGCGATACAGGGGCTCTGACAGGCAAGGAGGGGCGAGAGCATTGAGGGCTTTAAAAACGATTAAAAGAACTTTAAAATCAGTGCAGAAGCAGACTGGGAGCCAGTAAAGGGTTACTAAAATTGGAGTTATGTGGTCGCGCTTTTTCTTGCCAGAGGGGAGTAGCAGCGTTTCGGATGAGCTAAAGGCGGTTGATGGATGACTTGTCCAAGCCTGCATATAAGGAGTTGCAGTAATCTATACGTGGAGTTATAAAGGCATGAATATTTTTCTCAAGATCAGCCTTTAAAAAATACTTTTTAGACTTTGCTAAAACACAGAACTGGAAAAAGTTTGTTTTAACAACAGCACTGATCTGCTTATTACGGAGCCCCTAGAGGGACATGGATGGACTTTTTTTTTTGCGAGATCTCGCAAAAGTATTGCGAGATCTCGCAAAGTATTGCGAGATCTCGCAAAACTTTGCGGGATCTCGCAATACTTTTTGCGAGATCTCGCAAAAGTTTTTTCTCCATTCAGTGAACCGGAAGTAAAACACGTAGCCTAAAATAATAATAAGAAGAAGGAGGAGGAGGAAGTAAAATAGACACAGCATGGAGGAGCCTACCCATCATCCGTGGGAGAAGTTTATTGATTTCTATTTCAGTATTGGCCTAACATATAAAGACATCAAATCCGTTCTTGCACGTAGACATGGCTTTGACATAAGTGAGAGACATCTGAAAAGAATACTGAGGGCGAGGGGGCTTTCTCGTCGTAATGGGTACTGTGATCTTGCGGTCCTGGTTGAATTCATCAGCAACGAACTACAGTACTCTGGCCAGCTTCACGGGTACCGGTGGATGTACGCTAAATGTAGAGAGCATGGACTACGAATAAAGAAGGAGGATGTGCAGTTGGTGTTGAAAGAGCTGGATCCGAGAGGAGTGTCACTAAGACAAGCAAGACGCCTACGACGACGGAGCTACTTTTCGAGAGGTCCTAACTTCATTTGGCACATGGATAGCTACGACAAACTCAAGCCATATGGCTTTTGTATCAACGGAAGCATCGATGGTTTTTCCAGGAAAATGATCTGGCTTAATGCCTATACCACGAGGAGTGACCCAAAGTTGATCGGGGGTTATTACGTTGATGCAGTCCAGCGTTTAGGGGGCTGCCCCAGGATTGTGAGAGGCGATCTTGGGACCGAAAACGGCTATGTTAGAGACTTTCAGCGGTTCCTTGTCCCGATCCATCCAGATGGCACTGTTGATAGCTACCTGGAGGGAGCAAGCACCGCCAATCAACGGATCGAGTATTGGTGGGGTTTTCTGCGCAACCAGTGTGTGGAGTTCTGGATGTCCTTGTTTGCAGACATCAGAGACAATGGATTCTTTGATGGCGGGTTTCTGGACAAGGCCATCCTTCAGTTTTGTTGCATGGGACTCATCCAGGTGAGTGAGAGAGAGTGAGAGAGAGAGAGAGAGAGAGTGTGTGAATGTGTGTGTGAGAGAGAGGGGGGGGGGGAGACAGGAAGGATGGAGGGAGCAGGGGAGAGGAGAGAGACGGGGAAGGTGAGGAAAGAGACAGGGAGGATGGAGGGAGGGGAGGGAGGAGAGAGATGGAGAAGGTGAGGAAAGAGACAGGGAGGATGGAGGGAGGGGAGAGAGGAGAGAAAAGGACTGAGGGAGGAGAGAGACGGAGAAGGTGAGGAAAGAGACAGGGAGGATGGAGAGAGGAGAGAAAAAGATTGAGGGAAGAAAGAGACATAGAGGAGAATTGTGGATACATTTTTTGTTGCACTATTAAATTATATACTGTTTGTATGTACAGTTCTTCCTAATTCTATTTTGTATATTCTTTTTTACAGGATGAGTTGGATGACACTGCACAGGTCTGGAATACCCACACAATCAGACCATCAAAAAACATCAGTGTCCCCAGTGGTCGGCCGAATGTGATGTATGCATTGCCTCAACTCTATGGGACCAGAGACTTCCTTTCCCCTGTTGAAGATGAACATCTTCAGCTGTGCAAAGATGAATGTGTTTTTTGCCGGCCGATACCATGCGATCCAGACGTGTACGAACTATGCAACATCTTAATGGTGGAGTCCCATCTGACTCTCCCAAGAGATCCCTATCAGGCTGTGAACTTGTATAGGCACCTAAGAGAGGCCATCACTGCATCTCTCTAAGTCAGGGATATTTCCTTATGCCCTGTAGGGTAACAGTTAATCACCAACTATTTTGATAGTTGATTAATCGTTAAAGTCAAATGTTCTTGTAAAAATGTCACAAAATGTTTTCTATTTCTCAGATGGGAATAATTGTTATTTGCAGCCCGAATCAATTGACATGTAATTGACAGTGAAGATACCTGTGGATGAACAAACTTTGTAGCCAAGCACTGTAACATCAGAGTGGAGCAGGAAATTTATTAATTATTCTGTATGAATTGTGAAAAACATTTGAAATCTGCAACCCTGAATAAATGTAAATTTTGCCAAACTTAACTGGTTTGTCAATAAAAAACTATTGATATAAATATTTACATTACAGTACTTATCGGTCACTTCATGGCAAAATGCACTCACACTCAATAAAAATATATGTGATGGCATTAAGTTCCAGCAGTAAATTAAAGTAATATAATGGAAATATTACAATCATTCTGAAGGCCATCTCACACAGGTAAAATCAGATTATACATTTTGTAAACAGGAACGTTCATTGGCATCTCAACATTGAGTTTCAAACTGTTTCTGAATAAGCAACCAACTGACATGAGTGATGACATCAGTAATTAACGAATCTACCAGTGATGGACAACTCTGTAAATTACAGAAAATTACACTAATATGCTTTTTAGGAACAAGTTCAGCGTTGAAGCTGGGTTAGACTCAAACTTATGGAAATGAATGCTGTCATTTTCAAAGTATAATTCAAAATATAAAATCAATGTAAAAAAGTATGGAGGTGTAATATTGCACCAATAGAAAAATAGAATTGCAGGCTGATCTAAATGAAATGAAAGACTGCTTACCACTATGTTAAGTGCATCGGATGTTTAAATGACAACAAAAACAGACAAATGAAAATAAATAAAATACAATCAACCATACAATGAGGCCTGTTGCTATTTGGCCTGATCAAGCTTGCTCTCAAGTTCAAATGATAATGATGAGGAGAGAAAAAGACTGGGGGAGGAGAGAGATGGAGAAGGTGAGGAAAGAGACAGGGAGGGAGGAGGGGAGAGAGGAGAGAAAAAGACTGAGGGAGGAGAGAGATGGAGAAGGTGAGGAAAGAGACAGGGAGGATGGAGGGAAGATGAGAGAGAGGAGAGAAAAAGACTGAGGGAGGAGAGAGACGGAGAAGGTGAGGAAAGAGACAGGGAGGATGGAGAGAGGAGAGAGATGCAGAAGGTTACTATTTGGCCTGATCAAGCTTGCTCTCAAGCGCAAATGATGTCCATCTCCATGTAGTTGCTGTTCAAAACATTATCAAATTCTGTTCAAAATTCTGGGTAAGAACTGTATGTACATGGCAGATCGAGTGTAGCGCCACAGGTATGCGCCACAGGTCTCCTGTTGAGCCCAGTTTCAGCATTAAAGCTAACCATAATTTTCTCAACACATATAACTGAAGAACCTGTGCAGAAGCGCAGGATTTTCTCTGCTTTTGCTTCATCAGCATTTTTGACATAACGTTGTAGGTGGTTTAAGGTTGCTTGTTCTCTTTGGGACAGCACCACCTTTGTTGTTTCAAGCATTTGCATCACTCTTTTGCCTGTGGGCTTCTTGGACTCATACAGACTCAACACACTTTTCTTATCTGGTAGTTTCAACTTTACAAGTGACATGGGAGTCGAAAAACAATCAATTACATACTTTGGCTCTTGGAGAATAGCTTTATGTGCCATTATTTCAATGGCAGACTTCATGCTGTTCTCTGGTGGTAAGATATGGGAACCCATTCGTGTGAAAAGGTCGAGCAAGTCCTCTTGATCCCCTTCCTCTATTCTGCCCCTGAGAGCGTTCTCAACAGCTGATCGCTCGATGGGAGGTAAGAAGTTCAGAAACGATGACATCAAGATGTCTGTATCAACAGACTCAATTCCAGTGATGCATGCTAAAATGAAGGCCATCGATAGCTTTGCTGGCATGACACCGTGGTCTAAAAATCCTTTAACCCAAATGCGTCCAATCGCCTGCCATTCAGCCTCAGAAAAATCTGGCCTAAGCCTGGGAACTCTCTCCGTTTCCCCTTCACACTGTTCAAGAAATTGTTCCCAGAAGGCTGTGTACACCTCTCTGGACACGCCGGCATCATCAACAGCCTTCTCGTTGATGAAGTCCATCTTTAAAGTCATATTTATGATCCTGCTATCCATAAATACAGCCAACAGATCACCAACAACCTTTATGCGGCATATTGAAGCTCGTTTTGTGGCCTCTGGATCTCCTGGGTTGCTGGCTGATGTTGATGATGACAACTGGCTGCTTGAATCTGAGGGAAAATTCGGTCCACTGTCCTGATAGAAGAACACACATGTTAAAAACAGAGTGGTCAATGAATAAAGCAGAGGCCAAAGTGTTTGGCATGTTTGTACCAAGGTTAAAATAATTTTGGATGCTATGTTTCTCATAAAGCAACTCACAACTCAGGTATCTTTTTGTGTTACAAACTGCACCCCTCCTCAAACTGCTTTCTATTAAAAACCCTGAGAACATCAGAGTTGCTTGAAGCGGTGTGTCTTACCTGGGCAGTTTGCACTGCCTCCTCATGTATGGACTGCTGCTCATCCAGTGTAAGTAGACCTTCACCTGAAGGCAATAGGAGATGTATAGTCTGCGTAGGTGCTCCACTCACCTCAGTGCTCTGAAGAATACAATAAATGACAGCAGACATATTAATCATAAAATCTATGATGTCATTGCAGACTATTATTTATAAAAGTCTTGAAGTGGTGTGTCTTACCTGGGCAGTTTGCACTGCCTCCTCATGTATGGACTGCTGCTCATCCAGTGTAAGCAGATCTTCACCTGAAGGCAATAGGAGATGTATAGTCTGCGTAGGTGCTCCACTCACCTCAGCGCTCTGAAGAATACAATAAATGACAGCAGACACATTAATGATAAAATCTATGATGTCATCGCAGACTATTATTTATAAAAGTCTTTCTAATTGAGTCTTATGCATCAGCATAACTTCTAGTCAAAATTAAGAACACTCCAGATAGCATGAAAAAGTCCATTTAGGTTTTGAGAAATAAAAAAAGGCAAACGTCTTACATTTTAGAGACAGAACACTATAATGAAGTCATAAATCAGAGTTACAATCCCAGGAATTAAGTCAAAAGGATTTAACTGACTTTCACTTTCACTAAAGACAACAATTGGTATTTGTTTTTAATACAAGTTGTACATGGCACACCACTAAACATTTCAAATGAAAGTTAAGTTCAAGAAAAATATTTTCATATAGAAATTCTAGATAAAACATTACCTGTGTGACATCCGCATCCTCATCAACATTCAAGTTTAAAACCACCAGGTCATCGTCTGGATCCCATATAAGTGTATCTGCCTCGTCAAACAAGGGGTCAGGTAAACTAACCTCACTTGTGTTTTTTTTACTGTCTGTTGGGGTTGACTGAAAGGGATGTGATGGACCTGGACTTTCTGCTGTCTCAGTCTCGGATGTTGTCCTTATCTTTTTTGATCTTGGTTGCATCTGAAAACAAATCATAGACGGATGGTTGTCAGCAGTAACATCAGAACACATGCTCCACATTTATTATTCAATGCTGTGTAAAAATACAATACATGTAGGTCTATTCCCTTTGTTTATCAGTGCCTTTTGCTTTTAGAGCCCTGAAGCGCACATACACACACACACACACACACACACACACACACACACACACACACACACACACACACACACACACCAAATTATTTACCTCTGTCCTTGTTCCATAAACCTGGATGCTTCCATCACTGTCAGATGAATGTGAACGATCCTGCAGATCTGTGATGGAATCATCTGAGATGCATCTTCAAGCAGGTCATTTTCTTCTTCATCTTCAATCAGCTGATTTTCTTCAGATGAGGAGTGATCAGTTGAAGCTCCCTCTTTTGTGCAAACATAAAATCTGAGTAGCTTCAGTTTAGTTTGTTCATACATTTGGCCAACAGTGTTATCCATGGGAATCTTGTTCATTTTAAAATCACATATTTCAAACGTGAAGTCTTCAGCTGGCCCTTTTGTGGAATGCCCATCAGGAAAAAATAGTCCCTTTCCTAATTCCATGATCTGAGCAACAGTTGTTGTTTTTGCCAATTTAGCATGTCTTGTGCCTCCACCATTGTTGGTCCGTACTTGACTGTATCCATTTTTGCCAAAATGAAGCCATCCAATTTCAACCTTTCTTGAAGTCTTCTCTCCTGCCCTATTTCTTTGTCTGGCCATGTTATTTTGGGGATTATCTGGGGTACCACTCACTTTTGTTTTTGATTTCATTTTTCGTGCCCCTATTTTATTTTTTAATCGCTGTAAAAGAGTCTCTTTATTGGTGCTGTGGCACTGGGTTTGTTCACAGAAGGACAGGACAGCCACTCGGTCACCATATGACGATATGTATTTTGTCATTTGCTCATCCGTCATGATGCGCAATACTGCCTTGTCAACCTGCAAACACAAGAGAGAGAGAGAAAGAGAGGGAATAGTGTCAATGCAGTGTTTCAGTAATACTGGACATGGCTGGTCTTATGGTAAGTACAGTAAAAGATTGGACATAGAGATGCCAGATAGAAAGCTGGCCTACTTCACACAAATTCGCTGACGCGATCTGACGCGTATCCACCTTCATTTAATTCCATTATTCACAGGTGTGCAATTTATTTTGGCAGATGAGGATTCCATGATTCAACATCAACACATCATGGTTGAAAAACATTTTGCGTCCAGTTCGTCTCAACTTAAACAAAGCTGAAGGCTGACCTCCACAGGTGTGCTGGCTGACCTATATAACTAAAACTCCACCCATAACCAAGCATAAACAACCCACTTACTAATATTACATGTAATAAATTTGAACGACATTGATCCTTATGATTAATCATTTATAATAAAGATTTAATAAGCTTATTCAAATTAGTTTGAAATTATACTTTACGCAAAGCTCAGTAGGACAAGCCCACCTTTTTAAGCCGCCTGTACCACAAAATGTGTAGGCTACATCACTGGCACGGAACGTTAACCAGCTAGTCACTATGATACAGACCAGCCATGACGTCCAAAGTTACCATGGCAACCATTTCTGTTCTTTATTCAAGTTTCATCACATCATGTCATCACTGTTATTAGGCTACCAAGTGCGCCTGCCCTATATTAAAACGAAACAATGACGCATCAGGCGCATTAGATTTGTTTTATTTTTATTTCTATTGGGTCATGTTCAGGCCGTTGATTACTTTTAGTGGGCTAACGGGGCCGAGTGAGGCCCGTTAAGAACTCTAACGTTAACGTTACTCTACATGTCTAACTACAAACGTTACTAACATTAGCTTACAATAGCATAGCATTAACGCTAACTTTGTTAGCCACGAATGCTCTGTGTTGCTTAATGGACGTGAAGTTTTTGAATGAATTTTATGCTCACCTTGTCTCTCTTCATTCGTCTAATGTCCTCTTTTGGGACCTCTCGAGACTCTAAGAACCGCTCCAAATCGTCCTCCATGGTTGTTATGTTCCTACAACAGAGCACGGATGATGTGTACGCTCCTCCATCATGTGTGTCTGTTTTACTTCCGGTTCACCGAAGTAGGACAGAACTTTGCGAGATCTCGCAAAAAAGTATTGCGAGATCTCGCAAAAAAAAAAAAGTTTCCCTCTATGTCCCTTTAGGGGCTCAGTAGCTTATCAAGTTGAAGCTGATGGTCAAAAATAAATCCAAGATTCTTTACAGTTGACTGAATGTTGGAACTCAGAGGGCCAAGGATATCAGCAGAGCAGGCTGTGGAGGTGTTTCCTCCAAACAGGATAATTTCCGTAAATTTCATTAGATTGTAATACATGTCGGCTTAATGACTCCTGACGCCACCAGTCAGAGGTCACTAAATTGAACGTGGAATCGGTGTGTGAATATGCCAAAACCATGTCGGACTCCGTAGTTTTCTCTGGTCCTCTGCCCGATCAGACAACTGATGAGATGTGTAGCCGTATCTCATCATTCAACTGCTGGGTGTTGAGGTGGTGTCCGCAAAACGGCGTGGGCTTCATTGATAATTGGAAGTTGTTTTGGGGCAAGCCTGGTCTGATTAGTCGGGGTGGCATTCATCCCACTCGAGATGGAGCGGCCCATTTATCCAGAAATCTGGACGATTTTATTAGTCCGAACCACTGACAATTCAGAGCAGAGATCAGTCCTACACGCCCCCCTGTGCCTCCTTTAGAGCAGCTTCCCAGCCACTACCACTTATATACAGAGACAAGGGAGCAGAGCCACAGTGTAAAATGCCCCTCTGTACTCCCTTCAGAGCAGTTTCCAAGCTACAATCAGTTTGATATAGAGATAAAGGAGCAGAGCCGCAATGTAAAACGCCCCTCTGTACTCCCTTCAGAGCAGCTTCCTAGCTACAATCAGTTTGTTATAGAGATCAGGGAGCATAGCTGCAGTTCTACACGTTCCTCTGCACTTTTGTTAGACCAGCCTCCTAGCTACTGTCACTTTAATATTGAGACTGTGTCTGTCCCTCGTCCTTGGCTCTTTAATTCTAACCGATAGATTAACAAAGGAGTAAATAACAAGAACCTTACCAGAATTAAAACTGCTAACATAGCTGAACCGAGTACTAGTAAGATAAAATGTGGTCTACTGAATATAAGGGGCTCTATTTTCGTTCGCGCCGGTGAGGCGGCGGAGGGCGGCGAGCCCCGCGCAGTTGTATTTTCGTCTGGCGGAGCCCGGCATAAGGCGAGTTTGGTATTTTCGTGGACTGAGTCGCACGGAGGCGAGCCGAGATCCGCCAAGCTGGGCGTGGTGGCGTGGCAGGGGGAGGTGTTGACAGAATCAGCGGGCGCAGTGACATTTTCGTGCTCGCCACTGGCGTGTAACGTGTGCTGAAAGCTCGCCGATTCAAACCTGGTCAGCTTTCAGCGCAAGGCGGAACGCAGCTGGTCTAGTAGTATTTTGGTAGACCGGCGGCGTATCGACATACGTCACCGATGCCTCACCGGCAGGTTTCCACAGTGTCAGGGAGATTTCAGTGCATTAAATAATCATTAACAACTATTAATCTCAGTCAGCACATACATTTAGATCTATATCGATATATTCTGATCTATATCTGATCTGATGAGCGCGTTTGGCACGCGTTTGGGCACACAAGCTGACCGAATCAATACAGCTGAAACTGCATCAAATTAAATTAAATATCTAGTAAATAAACACACATGATGAAGTTAACAAGATATGTAATGCGTCTCCCTCCTTTTCTTTCTTCCTCTTATTTCTCGCACAGCTAGACCTGGACACGTCTCTGTGTCCTCTGTCCGTCTTCCTGCTGCTGCTGCGGCTGAACAGATGATTTGTTTCAGTGCTCAGATGTGTTATCTACTTTAAGCCGACATACGAATATTATAATATTCGGTTTTGTGGGCCAAATTTATTTTATATGCCAACATCTATGAAAGAAAGAGCCAGGCCACGGAGCGCGATCCGTCATTTACGCACAGATGGTTCCGATTTTAATGCCATTTTTGGAGTTTATGATCTGTGCGCTAAACCCACCTTTGACACGTGAGGTTTGAATATATGCAACTTTATGTGAGTGTCTTTATTTGTGGAAAAGGGTGTTTGTCTTACCAGTGGGTCCAACATTACGCACACCAAATCCATCTGTGCTCAGATGAGAGAGTGTGGAGGACACTTGTTGAGCAGCTGCCCTCTGTCGCCATTGTGTGGCATAACTGTCTTCAGACATCTCTTGATCTCTTTGACTACTTCATGAAAATAGTAATACGCCTCGCCGGTGGCGGATTTAAAGGCAGAGAGGAGCTTATGTGATTGGTGAAAACAGGTCTCGGCTGTGTTAAACACACTATACGCCCTTTCCTCCCCGTCTACGACTTATGCTGCCGGGAGGAGCTGAGTTAGGGAGGGGGGATACTTACGCCGGGCTGCGCGGCTCACCAAAATACCAAAATGTGCTTGGGAACGCCTTGTCAGCGCGGCGGATCTGATTGACGCTGCGCTTGCGGCACCAAAATAGAGCCCAAGGTCTCTAAATTCCAAATCTGTGTTAATAAATGAACTAATCTCTGAGCATCGCATTGATTTACTCTTCCTAACCGAAACTTGGCTGCGTCAGGATGAATATGTCAGCTTGAATGAATCCACTCCTCCTAGCCACCTAAGCTTTCACATTCCTCGGGACTCTGGCCGAGGTGGTGGAGTTGCAGCTATTTACAGTTCCATACTCTTACTTTTTGTCAGAATTCTATCTGATTTATTCCTTCTTGCAGACAAAGTCATTGTTGTTGGTGACTTTAATATTCATGTGGATGTGGAAAATGATAGCCTAAGCATTTCTTTCTTGTCCTTGCTAGACTCAATTGGGTTTACACAGTGTGAACATGGACCTACGCACTGCTTTAACCACACCCTCGATCTTGTCCTGGCATATGGCCTTGGCTGAAGCCTTGTCAGTCATCTCATTAAATCCTCTTTTATCGGATCACTTTCTGGTAAATTTTGAATTTGTGCTTTCAGGCTACTCTCCTCATAACAAAGCTGTGCTAACTAGAAGGTTGTCTTAAAATGCTGTGACTAAGTTCAAGGAGGCAGTTCCGTCTATTCTTAATTCTGTGCTTGAGAAGAACTTCGCTGATAGCTCATACTTGAACATCAGTCCTTTGCAACTTGATCAGTTCGTCGATGATACCTGAGGCACATTGCATTCAATTCTTGACTCAGTTGCTCCTCTTCGACAGAAAACTCTTACATGCGAGAGGCTGGCTTCATGGTATAATGCTGAAACCCGTGAGCAGAAACAGTTATTAAGAAGGCGAGAAAGGATTTGGTGCTCTTCCAAAACAGCTGAAGCTCGTTTTCTCTGGCAGGAATGTCTTGATAAATATAAGAAGGCCTCATGACGTGCTCGGACAACTTAGTACTTGTCTCTTATTGAAGAAAATAAGAATAACCCCAGATATCTCTTCAGCACTGTGGCCAGACTGATGGACTGTCAGAGCACTGCTGAACCATGTACCCCTACTTCTTGAGCTTCTTCAATGAAAAAATCTTAAAAATAAGAGGTAAAATTAGCAACCTCTTGCCTTCATCAGGTGTCTCTCTCTTAGATGACCCTGAAATTGTTGAGGAGCCCCTAAGGCCTCTGGTGCACCTTAGTAACTTTGCACCTATTGACCTTCCCGAGTTAAAGTCAGTGGTGCTGGCAGCCAAACCATCTACGTGTCTTTTGGACCCAATTCCATCTTAACTGCTGAAGAGAACTCTTCCTTTAATTAGTATGTCCTTGCTTAACTTGATCAATACGTCTTTATTAACAGGATATGTTCCCCAGTCTTTTAAGACTGCATTGATTAAGCATCTCATTAAAAAACTTACTCTTGACTCAAGCACCCTAGCTAACTATAGACCAATATCCAACCTTCCTTTTATTTATAGAGTCCTGGAGAAAGTTGTTGTGAATCAACTTTGGGATTTTCTTCATAACAACGGTTTATTGGAGGATTTTCTGTCTGGATTTAGAACCCATCACAACATGGAGACTGCTCTGCTGAAGGTGACAAATGACCTACTCATGGCTTCGGACAGTGGTCTTCTCTCTGTTCTTGTCCTGTTGGATCTTAGTGCTGCATTTGACACAATCGACCACCGCATCCTGCTTCAGAGACTGGAACAATCTATCAGCATAGCAGGATCCGCTATGCAGGATCTTCCCTGGTTTAAATCTTATCTGAAGGATCGATCCCAGTTTGTCCATGTCAATAATGAATCCTCTGCGCACACCAAGGTCTGCTACGGAGTCCCACAAGGGTCAGTGCTTGGACCGATCCTCATTACCTTGTACATGCTTCCTCTGGGTAAAAGTATGAGGAAGTACTCAATTAATTTCCACTGCTATGCAGTCTCAAAGATATATAATCCTGGATGACCAATAACTTTCTGATGCTCAATTCAGACAAAAACTGAAGTTCTTGTCCTAGGTCCTAAACACCTTAGAGAGGCATTCTCTAATAATTTAGCTACGCTAGATGGCATCAGTCTGGCATCCAGCCCCACTGTGCGAAATCAAGGAGTTTTATTTGTTCAGGATTTGTCCTTTAGCTCCCACATTCAACAAATCTCTAGGATAGCTTTTTTCCACCTGTGCAATATCTCAAAAATTAGATGCATCCTGTCTCAGAGTGACGCAGAAAAACTAGTCCATGCCTTTGTTACCTCTCGACTGGACTACTGTAATTCTCTTATCAGGCTGCTCCAGTAAGTCTTTAAGGACTCTTCAGCTGGTCCAAAATGCAGCAGCTCGGGTATTGACTAGAGCCAGAAGAAGGGAGCACATCTCTCCTGTCTTAGCCTCTCTTCATTGGCTCCCTATTAAATCTAGAATTGAGTTTAAAATCCTCCTTTTGATATATAAAGCGTGTAACGGCCATCTCGACAAGCTTGTTATACCGTATTTTCCGTCTAGACCGTTACGCTCACAGTCTGCA